CCCAACCCAGTTCTGCGGAATCAGAATCAACTTTGAGTTTAAGCAAGCGAATGAGCCAATTGGATTAAAGTGCCATGCAGATTTAAATTTTTCCCACTTGTGACGAATGCAGCTATCGATTTTTTTGCATGCTAACATGCTAGTTAAGATTCGTGTCAGGCAGCTGTTGGCTCTCACGCTGGCCAATAGAATCTTCCTGCCTATTCGTGTCAGCCAGCTATTGGCTCTCACCAGCAAGTAAAATTGCCGCAAACTACATGAAAACTGCCGTAGAAGCATGAAAAAATCGATTATTTCCACTGTCAATGGGAGTTGGGAAATGCAAAGTCGGTCTTGGCCTTTCCGTTAACTTGGAACATGCACATGTAAATGTTGGTGAAAATCCGTCGAAAATTGCGGCCGTGCATTCGTTACACACACACACACACACACACACACACACACACACATCCTGCCTTATATATATATATATATATATATATATACATATATATATAATCAACTCTCCCGTCGCGTTCTACGTATGAGGGTCAGGCCGATAAGTCCCCAGGAAACCAACATCCCGACACCGGCACATGAGATTTGTTTATAGTGGTGAAGGCCTTGTGCAGGACCAGCCACACTATATATATATATATATATATATATATGGGACGGACTCTCCCGTCGAAGTCGACGTATGAGGATCTGACAATCTCATCCAGTTTTTATGTTTGTCTTGTATGTGACACTTCAGTCCTGCTAGTGACCTGCTTACAAGCCCACATATTGTGCAACAGCGAAGATCTCGGGACATAGCAACAGGAATACTTACTGAAGCTTTTCGTCGTTGACTTTCTTCTCTTAGCCGGTCAATACGACTGATTTCAACACTTCTAATACCACTCTAGCACAAATATATCCAGTTATTTCTATCCAGGGCAACTCTCTGAAATTAGTATGGAGCATATTGACGGCGGAGAGGTTACTATTTAGTTCATCTTTATATCTGAGTCACCGCTGTCCAACGCTCCTTTGTCCAATATCAATATGGCCATTCATGAACACCTTAAATATTTCATGTTTGCAAAATGACCAGCCCAGCGAAGTTGTGACTGCAACAGGAGATCTTGTAATAATCTGTATAATATTCGAGCAATGTGCTCTATCGTATTAGATTAATTGTATTAAAAAGAGGGAAATTATTTTGAAAAATCCATATATCTTTTGGTCGATTTGCTGTCTGTCTGTACAAAGATGGTAGTAGTGAAGAGCAGGGTGTACGCTCTGTTCCACTCTACAACAAAGACTCTCATTGTCAACGCGAAAGGCTATCAACACCGACAAACTTGCGGCAATCTTGCAGCCAAGTTGATCCCAAATGCAATGACGTGTATTCCTTTCGATCGTTTCGGAACAGCTGAACGTGGGATCATGTGATCTGACAGCGCATGACCGGTATATACCATCGATTATATCTGCGCCCTCAAGGTGGGGACTCCAATTTTACCACCAAAGGATTGAATGTCATTTTCGTTTAAGGCCGATTTCTTCAAGATTACTTTGTTATGCTTGGAGAGTAATTATTCATTCTTATTGACAAAGTACAGTCCAATACTGTTATAAAAAAAAACCCGGAGAATTCCAGTAAGATAACTTCAATCATTTATAAGTTACAATGGCTCAAATCTTAATCAAATAATTTTGCATTTACAACTGGGATATATATATATATATATATATATATATATATATATATATATATATATATATATATATATATATAATGAAATAGACAAAAGTCCGACAAGATTTTAAAGACATTTTTATGTTTATATATTCTTTTATATTAACAAATATTTATGTAAATGCTTTGTTTTTAATAAACATTATTAAAAAAAAAACATTTACCGGCCTGAATGTCCTAGAATTTTTCATAGAAAATATTCGTCCTCCGACAGGAATCGAACCTGTATCCTATACGTAACCGTCATTTAGCCTCACGTGCTCTTAACCGATTGAGCCACAGAGACGGTTCCGTAAAGGATACTGGTTCGAATCCTGTCGGAGAACGAATCTTTTCTATGGAAATTTCTTGGACATTCAGGCCGGTAAATGTTGTTTAATACTGTTTATTATAAACAGTCATTTACTTAAATATTTGTATCTATAAAAAGAGTGTATAAACAGAAAAATGTCTTTTTATATATATATATATATATATATATATATATATATATATATATATATATATATATATATGAGAGGAAGAAAAGAATATATGGGGTAAAAATCCACAGTTCGTAGCAATTATTTTATGTAAAAGTGCTGAATAGAAAACAGAGCAAAATATTATTATAATATATTCATTATAATTAATTACAATAAAAAAAAACCTTTTACATCGCTACACATATACTTTTATGTTTCGTTAATGAGATGGTACCTCATCAGGCGATGGTAGATAACTAATGATAAAAATGATTTATTAAGAAAATTTAAAAAAAAAAACAGATCATTA